GGGGAGAAGTCAACAGCGTTGTCTGCTCCCCATTGGACCATAGCGTCCAACTCTCGTTGTGCCTTCTCTACAACCTCTTCGTTCGAAGAGCCAGTGACAAGGACTGCACAATCGTCTGCATATCCAAAGTGCTGCGCTTCGCTCTCCCCGAGGCGATGGACTGGCTCTGTGTAGAGTAGGTAGATGATGGGCGAGGCTGGTGAGCCCTGAGGGAGCCCGCATCTGAGACGGCGCTGCGTTGGGATGGTAGTCAGCATGCGAGCTTTGACGCCATAGAGAAAAAAGCAAAGCACCGAAGAGTCCATCTGGAAGAAACTGACCTTTCAATCGATGCCGGCAATGAGTAGCTGGGCAACGAGTACAAGGTATAAGGTATGTACGCCATCATGGCGAAGGACTGCGCGACGCGGAAGAGCCCATGTTAGAAGATGCCACAGGGCTTTGGTCAGCGGAAAAGCAACCACTCGGAGGATGAACCTTATGTCAGGTGGTGAGACACATGAGCCGAAATGGAGAGGACTGGAAGATGCTGTCGTTGTTGAAGCAGGTGACGGCGAGCTGATGGATCAAAAGAGGCAATGATGAGGCAGCAGCCCAAAGGCAAGCCGGTGCCGGATACATGTGTGCTGATGGGGCGCAAGGCGGAGTGATTCAAAGGGAGAAGAAAAGTGGAGAAGTGGAGATGGTTGAAGATGGTTGAGTGTTTGTTTGTTTGGATTTGGGATTGTTTGAAGGACTGAAGAATGGGATGACTATGAGGGGAGAGCGAAAACGGACCAGAGAGGCATGGGGTCATGGGCAGTCTTATAGGAATCCTGGGGCCACCTGGGATCAGCCATTTACGGACGCACTTCACTGCGCTGCACCTCGACGCAATAACGCCTCCGACGTTCATGTCCAACACTGCACGCATTCTCGCCTCGCAGCAACGTCTTTGATCCTTATTTCACGTCCGAGCCTGACAATTCCGTGGACATGATCTCGTCCAAAAAGGGACAGCAAACGGTTGAGAGACCCGTGGGCAGCAACGGACAGCTTCGAATGGAAGGGTCATGGTCGTTGTAAGCTTGTTGGCGCCGAGGATGGAAAGTCAAAGCATCATATCCGAGCAATCAGGACCCTTTTAGTACTGGAGTTGGCAAAGAAACCGAAGGTAGAGCGTGAACTCAGAGTTTGGTCAGGCTTGGTTCACTTAAAAGTGGGATTTTGCGATCCTGCCTTGGTGGACGAGCAGGCACTACGGTTAAATTTCTGTGTCAGAATGGCAACCCGATTCAACACAACCGAGCTTAACTGCCGCTGTCGTCGTATTTACACTCAAGACGGGCATTGCCATACTCTAGAATACAGGAGCCCGGTGCGGCGACAAGGGAGGCCCAGAGAAGGTCTTCAACAGACTACCAGCGTGGTCGTGTGGAGTACCAGGAAGCACCCGTCTCTGCCGGTCTTAATATCCCTCTTGCTTATCGTGCGTCTCATGGTTGGAAGGCTTTGATGTACTTTCACATGAGAAATCGTGGGGCAAAGTTCTGGATGGAACCTGAGGCAGTCCGGACTGAAGAACGCGCCATTCAAGATGCAGGGCTTGCAAGACCCCATCGCCGGAAGGAAGCTGGTATCGCTTACTACAACGGTCAACGAGAGCGCTCTCTCCAGTGTTGAGCTCTTTTGCCTGGGCAGTCTGGGTGTTCACGGACAAGAGCATTTCACGCTTACCTACCTACAAGAAAGATGAAGATCGCCAGGAAAAAAATCACGACAGAGTTACGATGAAGGAGAAGTGCATGACACGAGATGAAAAGATGTTAGTTTTTGCTGAATAGACGTCAGTTAGCCCTTTTTGGCCCCAGAAATTCCCCCATGTCCATTGTGCCCCGGCTTCCGTCCTCTCCCTCCTCCATCTTGTCCTTGGGCGAATTGTGGTTGGACTCAGAGGTAGAGGGTTTCCCCTCTGTGGATTCTTACCCCCGTTCCCGTCCCGGCAATGTTGGCGACGCCTTTTCCTTGGTGGCCCAGGGCCGCGACAATGTGGTCCGAATACGCCTGCCACTGGCGATGATAATGAATGGCCCACCAGGCCAGCAAGAGGGCTCCGAAGAGCAGGCGGAGACGACAGACTTTAACCATGGTGTGATCTGGAGGTGATGTAATTGGGTCAGCTGGTGTTCAAAAGCGCGACTTCCACTTTTCCTCTCTACGAGTCTAGTGATCTGTGATCGAGGTGCTTGCAGACGATTTGGGGATCGCCGATCGACGACTGGGGGGTAGCTGCCTACCGTGAAGAGGGCTTTGAGGCGAGGTGGAACTGAAAGGAAATCAGCAGGGATGGCCTCACAGTGCCTCAAAGATGCAAATATGTAGGTTGGCATGGAAAGAGCAATACATATGCTTTCTACCAGGTAGCGGTACAGGGTGACTTACTGCTTGTCTGTTTTGGAAGGGCCTGGAAGTGCCGTGATGGCTTGTGCCTTCTTCTTCTTCTTCTGCGGTGGAGTTCTTGAGGGAAATCTGCTGCAGGAAGTAGGTCTGAGATGTGCGAGGGAAGTGCTCTTTCTTTCGATTTTCTTGGGCAACGATGGAAGCGGAAGAGTGTCTGAAAGCTGGAGAGGCGGCTCACAAGTTTGTTTCACTTTCAGCCAAAGCTTTGGCCGTGATTCAAGCTCATGAGATTCTTGTTCCTAATGGCGGCCTTGTGGAGCCCTTCTACCAATTCTTAAGAATACAACGAATACCAAACATCAGACGAAACAGGCCTCGAATAATGCGAATTCCATATCCAGAATGGTGCCTGCAACCTCGATGCCCACTCGAGGCTTCTTCACACTACAGACACCCCGATGTCTGCCTCAAAACCATGAAGCAAGCCATAGAGGTTCTTTTCAAAACGGCGGGCAAGTAGGAGAGAAGTTGCAAAGATCCAAGGTCATGCGGGAAACGGGAGCCGACATGGCCTAGGCTGGATCGTTGAGCGTTCTTTCATTTCCCAAGCAAAGTGCTCTTGCCGGTGAAAGTTTGCGACCCGTTGCGGAGAAGTGTCTCGGTAATGTCTGCTCCTTGTACCTTTGTGCCTCCATTTGTAAGGTGTGGTACCTTAGCAAGACTTCCAGGCTATTTCTTGCCCTTTTCATCCCGCTGTGTGACTGGTACTGGCGAAGAGGACATGGGTCGGATTTTGGTGCCGTATTTGAATGAGGCTTCCCCAGATCATCATTCTCCCATCAATTCTTCTATTTCTTCATACCAGTTCAACACAAAATCGTTTCCATGCTGCTTTGTCTTTCTTCCATAGCTTCACAAGCTACCTTTCGTTGCGCCATAATCCTACACGTGCTCAGTCCTTGACACCGTGGAGAGCCGGCCCTCGCTCTTTGATATTGTCTGATCCGCACTCACATAACACTCCCAGAGAGGAAGCAAGGGAAGCGTGTCAACCAGCAGTGGCCTCCTGATCTTGGGCCGCGCTACTGCCAAGGGCAATCTTCAGAACCCGACTTGCCCCGACAAGGCCATTCCGCGAGTTTGAGCTTTGGCTCCGAACACCACCGCCACTCCGTGTGACGTTCTCAAGACCCGTCTCCAGGCCAGGGCCAAAGGATGCGATCCACATCAACCACTGGCCCTGGCCTGGGGTGTCCGGGAAAGGAGAGAGGAGAATATCCGTGAGTCCTTTGTCCCATCTTCCTGAACTCCTGCTGCGAAAGAACCTGCACAGTTGTTAGTCAATACCGTAGATGATATCGCAAGCCAGGACAAGTTCTGGGTACCCCCTCCCCCCATTGCGAATGAACTTGGTTCATTTGGATCTGTTGGTGTCACCGTTAGCTTGGACGGCTAACACTTGATTCATTGACAGTTGCTCTCGAAGCACTCCTGGAGGCTAGTGAGCCAGTGGATAGGTAGAACTTCTTCAAGATTGACAAGGTGGTAAGTCGCAGTTCCCGGTCAAGTCAAAGTTCATGGGGAACCGGACTTTGCTAACTTCCACTTCATTTTGAAGGAGCCCCGCCTCCAAGACACCCTCCTTCTGCAGGACCAGGAGATATGCCGTCCATCGCCAAGACTCGCTCTCCGACTGGACATACTTCGAAAACTTGCTTGAAAAGCCCGATGCCGAGTACGAGATTGCCTACTGCTTGTTCGACGTCGAGCGTCTAGGTACTGTCAAATATGACGACGTCCGCCGCGTCTATGAGCCCAACAAGAGACCCGACAGCATCCCATTTGACTGGGACTGCAAAAATCAGAGCCTTCCAGAACATAATTGAGGAAATGAGCCTCGTGGATTCTTCTTCGGGCTGTGATATCGCATCACTCATCGATGAAAGACTCATGTCTCCGATCTTCCTTCCCTGTCGGTTTCAAGAACGGAACCGACGGCAACCTCGGCGTTGCCATCGATGCCATTGGCGCTACCGCGGCTAAGCACCAGTTTATGGGTGTCACAAAGCAGGGTCTGGCTGTTATAAAGACAATGCGGGCGGTGGAACGAAGCGGAGGATCGGAAGTGGAACATTGAGTTGAGCAAAACGGTTATTTGTAGACATTGGTTTCTTCCATTCATGGAGCAGCCTTGTATTTCTTTCATATAGCAAAATGGTTCATCACTCATTCATCCATGCCTCGTGTTTAGCTTCACCCCATCACAACGAGATCAGACGCCTAGTGGTACACGATCGGTCGACCAATCACTATAACCGAGATGTTACCCACCTTTCTGCGGTTTCCAATGTCAGAACTAAGGTACCTAATTAAAACGCTGTGTCTCTGAGCCGCCAGAGCCAATTCCTTGACAATGGGGGTTTGTGAACACCCATGGTGAACGGCATGCAAAGTCTGTTTGGTGTATATATGTCGGAGCAGGACCTTTAGTGCGGATTTCCGTCCCTTCACACAGCCTGCCCGCCTGTGAACGCTCCTTTAACACTGAGAAGGACGAAGCGCAAGCAAATGGTGCACAAAGACCGTCAGCAGGGACGTCAATAATCATGATGATGTCTTTCTTCTAGCCGTGTGCTCCTGGAGGAAGGGTAAACCTGTCACACGGACATATGCCACACTCCTGGTAACATACGGGCATATGCTACACTCCTGGTGGCATACGGGCAAACGCTACATTCCTGGTGGCATACGGGCATATGCCACACTCCTGGTGTCATACGAGAAAGACCTACATGTATGCAGATTGCTAGATACCTTGGAGCCTCAGGTGACAAGGACCCGTACGTACTAGATAGGTACCGTTTCCCTTTGGCATAAGAAGGCCTTGAAGCCCAGCCTTCCTCTAGAGGTTGAAAGGACCAACAAGGCCTTCGAGACCAAAGTAGTTTATCAGCGGAATTGAACTACTGTTCCAAGCCCAGAACACTGCCCTTGTCACAAAACCCATGAAACCAATGTTGACAACAAAACTGCAAGTGGCAGTCCTTTCCATCTTGACCACAGAGACTGAACGAAAAGCCATGGAGCTGTGGATGATGATCCTAATGATGGCAGGCTACGGCAAAGAAATGATTGGTTGCAAGCTTTGAGTTTGGGAACTGACATGGCGGTAAGAACTTGGAATAAAAAGCGAGAGATGTAGCTGTTCGTGTGGACAAGGACGTGAGATCAACGCCGTAAAGTTTGTGTTTCCTGGGCCATGAAACGAAAAGAAGATGAGCTAATGAAGACCTTCTTCGACGTTTTTATTCTCTTCCTGTTACTGGTGCAGTAAGAGAAGCTCTTGAATCCCCAACCCAAGGCGTTTCGGCCAACAGAAAAAGGCTTTTGTCAGTGTGCAATCCTTCCAGGTTCACATTCCAATTCTTTCCTCGAGATCTTCGTTGCTTGAGGCATCGCTCGAGCTTCCAAGTTTCCTGCGCAGAACAAGCCGGCTCGTCATCCCCGTGGTGGATTGCAATCTGGAGCCGGCTTGGTTCGGCAATTCCGTACAGCCTTCTTGAGGAGCAAAAAGCATAAGAGGAAAAAAGCAACAGAGATCCAGTCAATAGTTTCGCGTGGACTGGATGCAAGTCGAATGATGAGAACCGTTTTTTTCTTAGGAAATCGCGCCCTTGCTTCGAAGGACGCGTATAACTCCAAGTTATTCGGAATGGGAACGCCCAGTTTCGCAAGCAAGCAAAGCAATAAGGTTCATAGCACAACTACAGCAAAGAGCTTGCAGGCCAAAATGCATAGCACATTTGATGCGGACTTTTCCACACCGAAATGCTATATTTTCAGCCTACTTCCTCACTCCCAAGCCCGTTTAATTCCCAAGCTCATTCTTGCAATCGGAAGAGTCAAGAGTCTGGCCACCTCCTGACGGGAGCTGATAAGTCGTCACTGGCACCACGGCAGGCAATCTGCCCATGCCGAAAGATTTTCAGCGGGGCTTGCAACCGAAACAGGCAGTAACAGGAACAGGGATCCGATACAATCGCGTCCGGTGTTAGCGCAATGCGGCAAGAGGAAAGAGCTTGCCACAGCCAGGTCTCGAGGATGCTGTCCCCGGCTTGCGAACAGCTCATATGACCTTGCCAACCTCATGCACCCCCTCAAATGACCCAGGACCTCGTGCCACTTTGGACTTGTTGCTCTTTTCTTGAACGTTTCGATACGTGACAACAGGGAGGGGCTCCCAGGTACTGGGCAATCTGGTGGCCGGCACGGAAAAAGTGGAACGGGAACTTGGAAGTGGAAGCTGCGCGAAGACGGGAGAGCCGCCAATTTTCCTTTCGCGACCCCATTTTCGTTCCTCGAGCAGTCTCTCACGAGTTTTGCACTCGACTTTCAATCTTCATCACTACTACAAAGTTCAAGCCAAAGCATTGCCACACAGCAGAACGACCAGCACCCTGCTTGGAATTCAACCATACACCACTACCATTTGCCTTCACCATGCTTGCCCCCAACAACAACTCATTTGGCACTGGCTGTGACTCGCAAAAGCAGCCAACACCTCCCTTACAGCCAGGACACATCCTCTCCAACGAGTCCGGCCCCAAAGCCGAGTCCAAGGCACAAGGCACCCAGATCACAGAGGGCTTACAGCCCGAGGGGAAGAGGAAGACATATGCACAAAGGCAGGCAGAGTTCAGGGCAAAGCATTTCCCAAACCTGAAGCCCCCGAAGCCAGAGTAAGACATTCCGACAGATCTCAATACACGAACATCCTTCTCCAATTACCATGTCCACAACGAGCAGGCGTTGTCAGACTTCAAGACATATTGCCTAGACTCCATGTATCGGTTTTGATACGTGTTTGATCTCTCTGTTCGCTGTCTTCTCATCGTGGAACATCTTCGGCCTCTTTTACAGGCCTTTGCGAGTTCACGATGGCGATGGAAGCATGGAAGAAAGCACAACACCCCCAATCACTGGATCACTTCTTCTTCGCCATGTCCAACTTGGGGAACCCTCAAAGCTCGAAGACACTAACGCATTTGTTAGCCAGGTAAAGAGCATGTGGAACAATCCGACATACCATTGCTGGAGCCTCGAGCTGTCTCCGCCCTCTCCTTCGCCTTCCCCGCCTCCCGGGCCAACTTCTGCAGCATCAATATCAAGCCCCAGCACAGCAGCCTGCCAGCCTTCAAGCTCCGTACAGGAGACTTCGCCATCCAAGGACGCCTCCAGCTCCCTCGTCAAGAACATCCCAGGGACGCCGCTGAAGAAGTAGACGCCAACGACGTCGACAACCCCCATGATCTCCATTGCTTCCGACCAACCTAGCCGCCACTTCTCCAGCTGCTGCACTCGCGTGCTCGGCTTCCCCTCCGATAAAACTCGCGCACGGGTTGTCGTGAAGAACTTTCTTGTTGGCCAAGCGACCTTGACAATTCTAGACATTGAAGCCATTTCACAGCCAGCGGTAGTCACCGGCCAGGGCCAAAGGCGTTGAGCCCATGGTGGCGTGGTAGCCGAACGCGAGAGTTAACAAGCTTGAGGAGAAAACGCGCAGCGGCGCGGGGGCATTCATGTTGCAAGATAGGGAGAAAGAAATGCGGACATCATGTCATCGGTATAAGTGGATGGTTAAGGAACTTTCTTCTCGTGGTTATCTCGATCAATAACAGTTGACGAATTCTAGGCCTTGTGCCTCTTTGACGCACTTGCCGGCGTTGTTCGTTGTCGGGTGTCCCTTCCATCTTGTTTGGTGTCCATGTCGATGGTGTTCTAATGACCTCTAACCCTCGGCAGTCCCGCCAAATTCCCATATCCTCTCAAATTACTCTTTCATTGTATAATCATGTCCTCAACACAGCTTCCCAAGTGTTTGCTTCCAGGTCCATTGTCGTCTCACCGTATTGCCACTGGCGCTGTGTCGCCCACCGTAGCACCGAAGATCACCCAGCCCACCAATCATGCGCCACCACCAGACCCACTTTCAACGACATCAGAACAACTGCAGCCCCTTTTGCGTGTAAACAAAACATTCCAATGATTGTGAGACAGCGGCAAAGCACAATTTTGGTCTCAAAATGGTCAGAAAAATGGCTGATTTCTGGTCCGGCTCCGGATGGAGGAGAGAATAGGGAATATGGAAGGAAACGGGAGAACACATCTTAATGTCCACGAATATCGGTCGAGCTTGCATTTGAGTCTTTCTGTGGTGTTGGCGATGGATTTCAGGAACAAAGCGAGGGCGGCAGATATATGGGAGTAAGGCTCAACGAAGGACAACAAAAGCTTTGACATGGAGCTTTGGCATAGTAGTACAGAATGAGAGACGGAGAATTAAGAACCAAACCAAGCTTGCAGTCATCAGATTCGTGTGATTGACATGGTGTATTGCACAAAGCACTGGCCAAGAAAAGTGACGGGGAATACGCGCATGAGACACTCCCAGATAACATAATTCAAGTTCAAGTTTGACATTTCCATCTTGTCCGAGTTTAGGACAAATGCTTGAGACTGCTAGTGAGGGTAATAACGCGCATTGAAGTGGACTTTCACTGGGCTACCTGCCCTCACTCTTGGAATGCCGACTCAGCTCGGGAATATCGAACATGGGCTTTGTAACAGGGTTTAGTTATTCTGAACATGGAAATAGCCCTTCTGGTGCATATTAAACTATGGTTTCCGGTCAAATGACAGGAGAAATTTGTCGATAAACCTCCTTGACGCCGAGAATGGCAAAATGTCTGGACATCGAATTCGTTGAAAGTGTTTTCAACAAACTCAACGCAACAGTAGGTAAATTGTATGGCCACTCAATGTAGGAGGATAATGCACTCTATTTAACATGCTCCTAGAGTTGATTTGTGCTCAAAATGCAAGTAAAGGTGTTGACTCTCATGGAAGCATACTAGGTGGCATTGGAAACAGCTGGGTTTGTCCTTGGCTCCCCTCTCCAACGACAAGCATTGGAACATGATTCCAAGCTCAGGGATTGTTCTTGAATTCCCAGGGAAGCTGGGGGAAGTCGTTGATATGATTTGTGTTAACCGGTTATAATTTTGGGTATTGCTTTCCAGCGCTGAGCAAAAGGTCATGATATCGAGGTCGCAGAATCTGCCTCCAAAGCGCAACCCAGCAGTCACTCGCAAATAATTTTGGCTTCAAGGCCAACAGCGACACGATATGTGCACTCCTAAAAAGAGCTCAACCGGGACTTCCTTCTTGTGCATATTTCGCTTGCGCAATATTCTCCTCAAAGCGATTATCACGAAATTCCTCATGCTTCCGACAGACCTCAATGGCAATCACTTGCAAATAACTTCTTTCTCAACACAGTTAACAACGTGATTTTGAGATTTCCACGAAGAGCTCAACGAGCTTTCACTTTTCCCTTGCCCGCTGCCCGCCCTGTTACCCTCCAAAGCGGTGAAAACCCGATAAGTCAAAGCACAGTCCCAGTGCCGGCTTGCGTACCTTCCAGCCGGCAAACTGTCGCGTCACCGTGCCCATGGAAAGGCAAACGGTCGAGGCCACAACACAAAAGCACCGACCCACAACAGCTGGTCCGATATGCCATGCCAGCCGTCTCAACAGACCAAAGTTCCTGTTGCTTCCCGTCCCATCTAGTCACATCATCCCTCCTTGAGGCCAACGAGATGATTTCTTCGAGGCACAAGGCTTTGCCCCTCGATCCTCTTGCTATCTATGACAGGGGTCTCGATCCCGTGTGACTCGAAATTGTTTTGAGATCCCATCTTCCTTGCTCAAGATACCTGCAGGCCATGGGACGAGTGACCGTCCCTTTTGCTCGTCTCATTGTTGACGGAGACTCGAGAAGTACCATGGAGTGATTAAGCGCTTGCCTTTGTGCTTCTCAGCCTACTAAAGGGCTGCTTTCTTGAATTTGCATACCCACAGATACTTGTTCCATCTCACACATCTCAACTTTGGGACTTGTTGGGTAAAAGGATGAGCAAGGCATTCGTCCCAAGCAATCCAAGGTGCGAAGAGAACCCTGCAGAAGAACGTCGAGCCCGTCTTCCCCCTCCTCAACGAGCCAGGGTGCTCCGTTGCCGTACCCCCACTGTGCCGTCGTGACCACGATGAGTTGACCAGCTGTGGGGCCCTTGCCATCTCCCAGCCGTCGTCCGGTCTTCTTTGCTGCCTCTTGTGCTGGCCCAGACCGTCCCGACTGCCCCGCCTTGCGCCAGATTCCCTTTTGGGACGGGTGGCAGACCAGCTTTTGGTTTTAGTGTGGACCCTTTTGGCCAGCCTGCCACAGTTGCCGTGCCAATAGACAGCCTCATCCAGCTGGTGGTTGCACAAACAGACGTCAGAACCAGCCCGCCTGGCCACCAAATCGCTTGCGCACTTTGTCCTATCTCTTCGTCCCGTCTTCTAAATGGCCCGCATCAGACGATTGTTTGCTTTTCCTTCGAGTACCTGCCTTTTGCCATGCCCCACCGGGAATTTCTATTCAGGAAGACTGATTCTGTCGCGCCGTGACCCCACCTGTTTTCCCTCCTTCTCCTCTACTTAAACCCCTCCTCCTTCACCTTTTTTTACCTTCGCAAACTTTTCCTCCTTCCTCAACTCTCGTCATACTCACCTTCTTCTCCTCCTCCAACTTCTTCTTCTTCTCCTTCAACCATCATCATCTTCTTCGACCGTCATCGCTCGTCATCTTGAGCTTCACATCTTCTCTTCAGGTAAGAACAGATACTAGCACGAGCAGACTATTCCCATGATGATCATACACCAAGTCGAGCATTGAGGCAATGAAGACAAATTGCCACTGACCAGGGAACCTGAGAAACGTCTCACCTAACCGGATATCATTTGTCCAGCAGTTTACTGATGTGTTCTTTCTCTCTCAGGATCAAGCATCATCATCATCATCATCATCGCGCATCTTTCAGCTTTCACATCTTCAGGTAAGAACAGATACTATCACACACAGAGTCCCAGCATGATGAAACGTGACCGCGTCAGTATTCCTGTTGTTTGTGTCCAGGTAACGCTGGCGTTGCTGGTAACAGTCTTAGCCTTGTATGGAAGAAACTGCCACTATCTGAAGCAAGAATTACCTCACCTAACCAGACAATCATTCGCGTTGTCAAGCAGTTTACTGACGTGTTCTTGTTCTTTTTTTTCAAGGTCAATCATCATCATCATCATTGTTCGGTCTTCAGCTTGCGACGCGACACAGATCTTTCGCACTTCAACACATTCTAACTTCATGGTGAGTCACATTGCACAGCGTGCGCTCACTTAGCCTAACTCCCATTCATCGCTGGCAATGATGATTACCTGTGCCATCTCGAGCTGTCATCTTGAGGACAACTGGGCCACTGTCTGAGCTACAAGGCGGTGTTTGGGGTCCCTTATACTATTGACATGACATCCAGTCGGGCTAATGTGATTCAGTCTTCACAAGTTTTCTTCTTCATCACCTCGACATCATCGACATCATCAACAGCTTCTTCTATCTCAAGGTGAGTTACATTGCACAGCGTGCTCACTTAGTCCAACTCCCGTTTGTCGCTGGCAATGATGAAATATCCTCATTGTGTCTGATGCTTCATGAAGACTTGAGTGCCAATTCTGAGCCACAAGGCGGTGTTCGGGGTCCCTTATACTATTGACTTGATATCCGGTTGGGCTAATGTGACTCAGTCTTTACAGGTTTTTTGAACTTCAACATCATCAGTTTCAACATCTTCAACTTCATCATGGTGAGTCATATTGCACAGCGTGCTCGCTTAGTCCAACACCATTTCATCGCTGGCAATGATGATACCCTCCTCGGGTCTGCGTCCTCGGCTTCGGCCTTGGGTACACGATGAAGACCAAATTGCCAACCTCTGAGCCAGCGGTGTTTGGATTTCCCTGAACGGTCCCATTCTTACATCCTGACGATGACAATGACAAGTTCTCTGGTTGGGCTAAGGGTTTCAGTTTTTCACAGGTTTCCTTCTTCATCACCTCGATATTTTCCTTTGTTCTACGGGTCCCACCATATACTGGCGGCTCGCCCACTGGGCGATTCGATTGGAGGTGTTGGGCCGCGTTTGCGCTACGGGCAACACATGATTTATACTGGCAATAGGCCTCGGGTTGCCCTCGGGTTAATGGTCTTTTGGTGGACATTTAGGGCCCTGCTCTTATCTTTGTACGCGAGATTCACCGATGTTGCATGTCTCATTCCCTACGGGAGGCGGAAGTAGATGTTAAAAATAACAACAACGACAACAACAACAACAACATTATCACCTCGAC